CCGACGAGGTCAGCCTTGGCAGCCTCCTGAAGAGCGGCGACTACAGAGCTTTGGAAGCTGAGGTCGGAGATTCTCGAGAGACTCGAGGAGAGGACAGTATCGAGGGGGAACGAGTGAGGGCCGACAACATGAGCTATCCACCGGCGAGGCAGGAGAGATCAGAGCCTGGAAGGGGGGAGAGAGAGATCTCAAATCTCTCTAGCGATAAGGCTGGTGGCAGAAAGAAACAACTGAAGCCCTAGCCCTAGATTCCTTGAAGTCCTAATATGGGGTAACAGTTGTAAATAAAAATTTAGATACGTAATATATATAATAAGTTTAATTAATAGGATTAAAATGTAAAGCGTTATCGGATAATTAATAATCAATCGAATCAAATATACGTTTGGTTAAATTCTATTCATTTATAAGCCGAATATTAAAAATTATCTGTTTAGTATTAAATGAACGATCGAATCAAACTTGACTAAATATCTGGACGAATAATAACCTAACTATTTATTAATTATTTGGTTCACTTCCACCCCTACTAAGATTATTATTTAAGTTTTTTATAATTTTATATAAAATTAATACATATTTTTGTGAATTATTATAATTAAATAAATTTAAAAATAGGCAAATGCTGAGGCGCTGCCTAGACGTACGCCGAGGCGTTGCCTAGACATACGCCTAGGCGCCTAGACGTTAGGCCCCGACTCGAACGCCTAGTCCGCCTAGCACCTTCTGTAACATTGCGTAAACCAAATACAAACAACATCAAGTTCGAAAATAGTAGCAAAAGGAGCATTCAATGAACCTCCTGAACCACATTACAAAGACAAGAGGTGGCGATAATTCCAAGTGCTCTTGCTTCCCTTTAGTAGATGGCAGAGGGGGCTGAGGCATCAGGAGTCGGGATTCTCTAATCAAAAGGAAGAACAAGACAAGAAGAGTCTTTACGAAAAGATCCGGCTAATAAAACTGATTGGAAATTGTTAAGCAGCAAATTTGGAAAGCAGGTCTTTGGTAACTGGAAATCCAAACCCACATCACTGATGAAAAACAATTATGGGAAGACTCTAGTGACCGGCTAAAATGATCGCTTACTGTTTTATTCTAGGTACTAGATAATGTTTTCTAATGAAACATGCTTCTTTAAAAAAAAAAAATCCTGCATAATAATGCTTGAAAAAACACAAGACTGTGGCACTTCTTACGATTTTCCTCTCCTTTTCCAGTATTCTTCTTATCGATAGTAAGTTGACATGAACTCTTAAATCTCCCATCAAGTGGAACATTCTTCTTACGATAGTAATTTGACATGAACTCTTAAATCTCCCATCAAGTGGAACAAATGAAAATGTACAGTTATAAAAAAGAAAAGAAAAAGAAAATGTACAGAATCCTTTTTAGTGTAACAGTACATATATTCAAGGAAATTATATGAATATGGTAAAAAAAATCACCTTCATGTTTAGTTTCACTCACTACGTGAAAACTTGATTCGCTTGCGCTCCCACGAAGCTTATAGATGCGAACCTACATAATAACATGAACCAAAATGAAGTATCTACACATGCTGATTAATGACTCCAAAAGGAAAAAAGGTGATCTGCACTTAAATACACCGAAGTTTATGTTATTTTTAACTTTGATACCCAAAGTTTCTTTTTGCCCAAAAAAGGCCCTAAAGTTCAACGACATTCAACTTTGGTACCCCCAAAATGACTTATCAGGGGTATCAAAGGTATAAACTTTTTTGACATTGGGGTGCTTTTTGGGCAAAGAAAAACTTTGGGGTATCAAAGTTGAAGATGGTGTAAACTTTGGGGTATTTAAGTGTAAATAACTCAAAAGAAAAGGAATACAAAAAACTGCTCTAACCAGACCACACTCGTTGCCAACAGCCAAATTCATACTTGTGGGACAAAACTCCAGTGCAGATACTGAACCACTTTGGCCATCCACCTCAGTACCTGGTACCTGAAACTCAATGAAAATAAATTAATTCCTTCATTACGTCTTTAAAGAATTTATTCACAGGATAGGATAACTAACCTTCCCTTCTAACAGAAACATGAGTTTGAGGATAGGACATGTAGCGTTCCATATCCTCACACATCCATCTTGGTAACCCGATATGTATATTCTTTCTGCTTCATTATCTATCGCTATGAATGATTCACTGGGGACTCCACCTGTCAAAGGCCACCTTGTTCCAGCAGATAGGGTAGGTGTGGTTGCATATCCCTTAGCAGCAGATTTCTACATGGACAGAAAAGAATAACCAATGAAATAAGAATGAGATTTATCATTTAGGAGGAAAAAAGGTGGGACAATAGACTGAAGACTCTGAGTTGGCCTTTATACTGGCATGTATATTGAAAAAGAAATACCGTAAGCAGTTTCTTTGAAGAATCTCCGTCTGGCTGTATTAAACAGATCTTTGTAACAGTAATACAAGGGTCAATAGTTGGTACTGCAACTGGAAACTTTTCAGCTTGCAGATGAACTTTCCCATCCTCACTTTTCAAGACCGGCAACATAGCACCATCATATACATTTACTTGTCCAGGGTTGGTCAATACAAAAAGTGCAGCAGCTGAATTGTGCTCTGTAGCCCCAGCACTAGGAATCAGAATCATATCTGCAAATGATCCATTAAGGTTTAGGTCCGCCCGTGAGATGCATCTCAAAGAATCTATTCCATGAGACCACTCCAGATCCAGAACCTGCAAGAGACAACTAACGGTTAGGAGTTCAAACAAATGTTGCTCTTTCAACAAAAAGGTGTAAAGTATCACCGTCCAAAGAGCAAAGCTTCTTTTTCAAATAATCCAAAGAACATAACTTCTTTTTTAAGCCGTTCAATGTGTCCATCCGATGATAGAAAATATAATGACATTATCTCGCACATAGTGGAGATGAGGTTATACCCCCCTTATTTAGGGACAATCTTTAAAAAAGAAAAAAGAAAAAAGAAACACGGAAAACCATCGACCTACAAAAGTTGGAGACAATGTATCCCACTTTCTGTACCATTGGAGGGTCACATCCAATATTCACAAAATAAGAGGGGAGGCAATAGTAGTAAGAAAGAGAGGAAGAAAAGTAAAGGGAAAAAAAGAGGGGGAAAACAGCACGCAGAACGAATAGACTAACCGTTAAAACTTCTTCAGACCCCATATCATCTCCACCATAGATTAGAAGTTGCCCTCCTCTATCATCTGCTTTTGCATTGGGAGACCACTTTAAGACAATGACAGGAAGCCTCCGACTTCCAGAAGCCAACTGCAACTTCACGACAGCTTTAGATGATGATCCCGCTTGTTGCTTTTTAGAGAAGTCTGAAGATATGTCCCATAATAATATATCTCCATTAATATAACCCACAGCAAGTATAGATCCAGAATTAGATGCCCAGCATAGAGAGCAAATTTCCTTCTCTTCTTCGTATTCAACTGCAGTGCTCTCAAGTTCATTTCCATCTTCGGTTTGATGATCAACACTTCCCTCACCCTTCAACTGAAGTTCAGTGTACCCCCTAACTGAAACAACATGGCCTTCCAGAACATCCCAGAGAATAAGCAGGCCATTCTCATATGCAATCAGAACTCTGCAGTAAAATAATTAACAAGTGCCAGATGTTTGAATATGTATGCAGGGTACACAGATATGCATGTAGAGATGCATATGCACACACACGCACACACATATATCTACAGGAGAAGAAATCTTTGTCATTTATGTTGGAAAAATTGTTCATCCTGAAAACCCCCTATAGTAAAAAATTGCATTAAAAATTCATTTCTTCTGGAGGACAAAAATAAAATATTAACTCCAACAGTTAAGAAAGAACATACAATAGATATTGGTCCTTATAAGTTGGCATACAATATATGATGTCTCTTCAGTCTGCATTAGCATGGACTACAGGAAATTGCAAGTGCTCAGATAACAAGTATGAGAGAGAACACATCACACCACCATAACTGCAAAATTTTGCTCGTGTCACTAATTTAAATGTCAATTGATGTTGATATGCAATTTCCTTTTGTTATTTCTCAATTTTGTCCATGGACTGCTTGATTTTAAGGCAAAAGGTCTAGTTTGTCCCCATATAATAGTAACATATGCTTAGCAATATCAGCAAATTGTGTTGTTGGCGATAGAAGATCCACATTCCCCATCCTAAAGTTTTGGGTCCCACAATAATCAGAAATCAGTCTCAATTATTGGTTTATACGATAATTCACGTCTCTAAATATCATCTCCAATTGCCACATGGCAAAGAGAAGCGAGGAAATTCCAGCCCATATTGTTGGATCTCATGAGATCATGGGTCCCATGAGATCGTGACAGATAAAATGCAATTTCAAAAGTTTTTCATTCTTCATTTGCAACTTGAAATGTTGAGGTCTCATTCAGTGTTCTCATTGTTCCAAGGGCTGGAAGAATCAAATATCACCTTATGGAAGTAGAACGCTAGTGTGCATCTTACAGAAGCATTATATGTAACGTAATCCAGCAGAAACCAAACAGTTCATATTTACAGATAACATGTAAAAGAACGAAGAATGACTATCAATTTTGATATTTGAACTTCTTTCTTGTTGAACACTTTGAGGTGAGCCACTGTTTCGTCAGAGGTTGTTCTCCTTGCATATTTTGGCTGGAGGTCATCTTGATTTCTATTCTTCTACCAAGCTTTTGTAAAGTCATTACTGAACAAGGATGGAATTCTAGATATGAATTCTGATGTCTTCTGGTCAAACAAACAAGAACCGACCTTCTCTTAATTTAAAGATTCCAGATCAAAAAAGGACCAATAAATAATACAGAGCATGCAATGATTGACTAAATTGTTTTATATTTTAATTTATTTGTCTATGAGATAAAGTGAGTCTCATTAAGATTTCGTCTTTGTCTATTAGTTAGGGGTTTCCTATAGAAGGCTGTGTGTGACTAAAATTGTTTGGCTTTGTTTTGATGAACTGATTTCTTAGACTGCATGAATCAATTGATTTCATTAATGACTTGAGAGAATATCTGACGCACTCTGTTTTCTTCTATTTCCCCAAATATCTTCTTCAAATTTGTTTCCTTCAACTTTCTAATTATAGAAGACATCACTAAAAAGAAAGAGCCCGAGAAGGGGGAAATGAAAAAATCAAAAGGCAATAGGAGGTGAAACCCAGAAGCCTTCTTGAAGATTTGAACTAGATGAAGACTAAACCATCTCGAAGACCCTACAACAATCAGAGCCATAAAGGTGAAAATCAAAGCCAGTCAAACTAAGCAATAAGGAGTAGGGCTTTCATTGTGATGAAAGAATGAATCAAGTTTGATGAGTTGAGCCGTTGATTACCAATTGAGTGTGTTCCTGGACTCTCCTCTTTTGCTAAACTTTCCAACTACCCAGTCATACAGAAAACAGTTCTCTGTTAGCATTATTTACACTAAGCTTGTTGCTAATAACAACTGTGCATTTTGCAAATTACCTATCACAAAATAGTCTGTCAACTCCAGTGTTGCATTTCTTTCATTCATCTTTAAGGTTTTTCTCTTCGGGTTTTACCTTGTGCATTGACAATTCTAATTTGAGCAATAATAAATAATATACATTTGCCAATACAAATATTACTGTAGAGAAGACGTGAGACAAATCAAATCTTGATGTTGATAGAGTTAATTTCAAAGAGAAAAGGTGATAGAAAGAGTTTGATTTGTATTTTCTGGTAAAGAAATTTCCAGGCGAGTAAAATAATATGCAGCAGGCGCATTCTGTCCAGAAAAAAAATCCAGTTAACAATTAGTAGGGTATATTCAACCCATCAAAAGCATAATAGATTGACTAAAAAATCATGCTAATGAGTAGTGGTCATAATGAAGACATCAGAACCTCATGAGAACAAGTGACACTTATACCTACCTTGTGCCAGAACTAGAAGGCTGTGGCAAAATTCCAACTATGGATTGATAATTAGGACATGGAATGCCAGCTGATTCTGTGAAGGAGAAATTAAGCTCAAATTCAGAATTAAAAAAATGAATAGAAAATAGCATAAAATGCATTAAATTACTAAAAGGTCAAAGACATTTTAAAAAATACAGATTCATGCCACCGCAGCTACTTGATGCAGATGGTTGATGAACAAGCCATGATAAATGGAAAGAAATATTTATCCATTTATGTAATTCCAATAAATTTGAATTAACATATTGGAAGATGTGCTCAGAGCACATGAGCAGGATTACGCCACTGTTAGTCTACAAAGCAAATGAATGGGATGACATGAAAAATTAAAAGAAAAGCAAACCTATGGTAGAAGTAGGGATCACGTAACTACATAGTGTAAGAACCACTCAAAGATAGATAAACTATAGAAAAGGTAAATTTAAAGAAACATGCAATCAACGAACCAAAATGGCTTAAGCAGACCATTATGAACAGCTAACTTGTGGGTATCGGGTGCTCTAGCTGCCAAAAGACTTGAGCCCACAATCAAACAAGTTGAACCCTTCAAAGCAAGGAAAGTTCATCATGAACAGTTATGAGCACACCTTCCTTTGACGCATATTTGACCATTGTTGATTCACAGGTTGATATAATTGCAAATTCATTGGATAATATACGTGAAGAAATTGTTAATAATTCAAACATTTTTAACACCTGTTGTTCATCTATATGGATACATTTGGTTAGATCAAGAAGTCACCGAATTTGGAAAATAACAACATTTATTCAAGAAACCGGAAGATAGATCTAAGTTGGTACAATACCAATGAGAAAAAACATCCATTTGGGTCTATTATGCAAGTTTACTTCCAGTCTTGACTGCATAATGAAAAAAATTGAACATCTGATTAATGTGTTACTAACAATCACACTTACTTTGGTGATTTGACTAAACTGCAAGGTGAATGGATAATGAGGATAAAAATAGTGAATAGAATCAAAACTAAAGAAAACTCCGGATTTAAATAAAAAAAATAAAGGTGGAGGAATTGATATATTTTGACAATCAAGGAAAAGAAACTACCAATTATGGTCCTTGCAGGAATACTATATGGCAAGCTCAAAAGCTTTCCTTCTTCAGAATTGTATCTCAATACAGACATTAAACCATTCTCATCTCCAATATACCTAAATTCAATCAAAAAGGATTTTGTAAAGCTGGTAGCTAAGAAAGAAGAACAAACAAAATCATTCCATTTACAAACCGCACATCAAACAGGTGCCATGAATTACAGCAAAAGCAGTTATGTTTGTCTCCCATTGCAAAGAATAAACTAATTGCCTGCATTCCAGGTTCCACACCTGCCAAGGCCAAGGAGATATTTGATAAGGAACATTACTACAGATGAGCTACAACCAAAGCATAAATTAGTCAATCTATTTTCCTTAGAATAGAGATTTCATGTAAAATAAGATACAAGGTGGCGAATATATAAAACGTATTTCCAGCACAACATAATCTGTGAAATAGCTAGAATGGCAAATTCCTTCATAGTTGGTTCTTGTTTTCTAAGAAACAAGTAATTTGCATGTGTTTAAAGATCACTATTAGGATTTTATTCTTCTTGCCCAGTTGAATTCCACCACTTGCTATTAAAATAACATTCCCAATAGTTTGAGTCCTGCTACGAGTGACTTCGATAGTAAATAACATGCTCCTAGAAATGTTGTTACTTTCTGAAGAGAAAAAATATACCCATAAATGGCTAAATTTGCATTAGAGCAAAAGAACTTTTTAAAAACTAATGTTACAAGTGTTATTGAGAATCCCCTGAATACGTAAATGATCAAAGCACAAATGATCAAGGCACAGAAGGAATAAATGACAAACAAAAAGAGACACGTCTATATAATGGGTTTCAGCCTTTTGGCTTACATCTAGGGTTGACAAAGTTGTCGAGGTTCACTAATAAAATCATGAGTAATCAAAGTTCGAGGAGCTATCAAACTTTAATCCCTAATACACCCCAAATCTCACGTACAAATAAATGTGTTTGCTTTCTCTCTTGATGTATAGGGCTGCACTGAATTCCAATATATAGACATTGAGCACAAGTTGAAATTGCAAATCTACCAAAACTAAAACTGGACCAAACTGCAGGGGCATTGCCCCTGCACTCTTGATGGGCCCAAGCCTCACCTTCAACCCAAAAACCATAACTAAATTGCCCTTTCTTTATTTTCTTCCGCATTATAATCAAGTTGGGCCACCAATGGATTCATGTGAGAGAATTCAGGACACAGAAAATAACATGGATACCCTTCATAAAACAAAATTTATCTACAATACCAACAATTTTTTATGCCCCTGGAGTCTCAGGCACCTTTTTTTTATTTTGTTCCTTCAAGACTCGATATACTTTATATACAATGAATTTGCCAAGTACAGAGAAAAGCCATGGGCATCAATGCTGAAAAGAAAGCAAGGAAATGGAGGAATCAATAAAGTTATGACAAGAGCAGAGTATAAGAAGTATGTTACGATAATGAATCAAGTACAGTTTCACCTCCATATGCCTGACCAGCTCGAGAAACACCCACCCTTTACGATCACCGACAAAGGCACAAAAGAAGAGGTTACGGAAGTTAGAGAGGCAGTGTCAAAATAAGATGCAAAGCCAAGTGATCTTAAATATGTCTCGGCCACAACACAATTATATGCCTCAGTTGCCAAGAGTACATCAAAGTCTGGCTTCTTGCAGTTCTAAACACAAAAGTGACACCACAAGAATAAACAGTAGCCAATAGAAAAAGATAACCTACAAGTCAGCAGCTCAACCAATGAAATATTACACACAAATCCAACATCATACACGACACATGCAGACCCAACTCACTAAACAATAAATTCTGGCCCAAGTAATTAAACAACACATGCACATACAAACAAATAATAGGTAAGTATAGGCATGCATACATTGCAAAAGAAAATAATTTTAGAAAGTTGACTGCTTGTTATTTTCCATCAAATGTTTGTTAACTACATAGTACAACATGCATGTAGTTCGAAAATTAGAATAATGCTAATCTACAGGAAGGCCCATGTGCAAATGAAATATGACATAAAATAAACTGTCTAGAATACCGGAACAGGAAGTTCCATTAACGACAATTACCTGGATATCATTATCATTTGATACACCAAGAAGGAACCCACGGTTGTGTAGAAACTGCAGGAAAGGGGAAAAATACAAGGTTAGCCCCAAAACATACAAAATAATAGTAAAAATAGCATTCAAGGACCAAAAACCCAATAAATAACATGTTAGTTATTTCATATGGAAAGCAACTCTTCTGCCAAAAAGGCATTTTGACAATGCATTTAATTCACGGAAGTTCGACTTCTAAACTGCAATGGTTGTATATTACAAGAATGATAGAAATTTTGTTGGGTACCCGTTTGTTTAAAATACGACGGATTGTTTATTTTATTTTCGTAATATGTCATTCTAGAAATTCATCTTGACCCCTACCCTTTTGACCAATAAGATACCGATATCCCTATATACCTACATTTATACACATATAGTGATCTTTTTTCAGAAAGCACCAAGATGAGAACTTTTGTGGGAATGCCATGCTGGGAAATGTCATGGATGATCACCATTGTTGTCTTGGTCATCTCATTCAACCTAGTATAACAATAATATCAAGTGGTTCCAAAATCCAGAATTTCTTTCGCCTTCATAGATGGTTGCCAAAACAAGTTTTTTAGCCACTGAAATAGATATATCATCTGATACTTAGTTAAGAAGCTTGAAATCTCTGAATCTCTTATATTGTTGGAATAAAAAAAACATCAAATGATGTAGGAATTCTTGTAACATATGAATGAAAAAATAATATTGATCTCACATAATTATTAATTTCAATATGTATATAGCCGTGTCCCGGTACCCTATCTTTAACAAATTTCCTGACTCTTATACCCATACTCAAACTCTACTTGTTCCCGTCAATGTGGAACATAGGGTGTGGGAAACCTCACACTACATTGCATCTTGCTTCATATAAGACCAATCCCCATCTTCTCTTAACCCAAGGTTAAATATACTATCAGGTAGGTACAGAGGATACACAAGCATCTGAGAGCCCGTGAAAGATGTCTAACAGTTTGTTGCCACTGTCAGCGCTTTGTCCACCGGCAACTGGCAATGTTCCCTAATAGCTATGTCAACTGATAAAAATGACCATGTATCACACTCTGGAAGCAAATCAGTAAGCTCACCACACAACTGCAGTCAATCTAACTAATGAAGCACACTATTTGCATTAAAAATGTGATTTTCCACAATCACTAAACAAACATTGCAAGATAAAGACTAAACTCCCCTTGCAGCAATAACAATCAACACTTGGGCTGCAATTGATTTGTGGGGAACAAACACATTCTAAGTGTTTTGAAGAGATTGACTACATAAACATTCTCACTCCTAGACATCATATTAGCTCAAGTAAAATGTGGTCTCTATACACTCCAATTTGCCAAGGGGGAAAGAAGTAAAATGTGGCCTCTGCTGATAATGTATTCTAGGGAAAAGAAAAGACCTGCACAACAAATGCTTGAAAAAAATAAGGAAAACAGGCAACCAAATAGAAATCCAATGTTGCAAACTTGCTTACCTCTAAGTTTTTGTAGGGCAACTTCTTAGGGGATATTAGAAGACCCTCAATATTATCACCTCCGATAATTTTTATCCTACCATCCCTGCAAAAGTACAACCAAAATGTATTTTTATTAAAGGAGAATCAAGACACTCAGCAAGTAAGTGCAAAATACTCATGATATTGTCAATTGAACTATATGAGGGCTATGACTTTACTACTTTATTCAATATTCACTCATTGACATAACAAACTGCAACAACTAATCACTGGATATTTCAATTGCGTCAATTCCAGCTTTCATTCCCTTTATGGGGTAAGGATTTTCTCGGAAAGAGTACCAGTCCCTGCCAAACATTAGGCTCTAATTGTGCAGTTTTTCCTTTCTTCAATAAATTAGTTTTATATGCATTACATGTGTCCTCATGTGTCGGGTGCGCACCCTTGTGATGTAAACCAAGCTAGTGGGCAAAGGGCCATGAGAATACATATTTATTTGGCTATTGAAATGACCAAAAATGCACAAACTAGCTTGCAAATGCTTAATTAGGAAGAAAAAGAAAAGAATAAAAAAATCTTATCTCACAGTGTTCCAATTGCTAGAAGTCGTTGGATAGGGTCGAAAGTAAGAATGGATGCTGTATATGGAATGCCATAATGGAGAACAACCTGAAGGTCCAGATTAGTTACGGTCTTAGATCCCTGTTATAAAATACATTCCATGAGAACATTATAAAAGGAGGCCAGCATCCAATGAACATTACAGAAAAGGTAGTATATAGATATATTACACCAAAATGTCCAAAGACTCCAAACATTAGACAAAAAGTTCAAATGAAATCAGTTATCCGCAAATTATTACATAACAGAAACGGCTGATACACAAACGAATATACACAGAAACGATTAATCCATCAAGAAAAATATAGGTACAGAAAGATGACTGCGTAGAGGCGACGAAAGCTTTACCGGGTTTCATACTTCAGCAAGATTATTTGTTTTACTATGCCATCAACAACCCTGCATGGAAGAGGGCATAATCTGCATAGGACGACAGAAGCAAGCATCCGTCTCTTCTCTCTTATTTTCATTTTTACATGTATTATAATTTTTAAAACTTTGACATCCTTTTGGTATTCTTTATATTTAAATTATCTACGATACCGGTCAATTGTTTCATGGTATCATTTAAGAAAAAAGGAATCCAATATCATTATATAAGTTCATATTTCGATGTGTACCAACCATGTTGAATATATGAAACCATCCTTATGATACAAAATTACCACAAAATGGAGATCATGCAACAGCAGACATATAGCTATCTAAAAGGGTAGCCCAGTTCACGAGGCTCCCACCATTGTGGGCTCTAGGGAGGGGCAGATGTATGCAGACTTAGCATGCGAAGAAGCTATTTCGAGGATTTGAACCTATGACCTCCAGGTCACAAGGCAACAACCTTACCGTTGCGCGAAGGCTCACCCTCTAGACATATAGCTATCTAACGTATACATAAATTGGACTAGTATTCTGCTTAAATACCCTAGTTCTGATATTATTACTGAAATCTCGAGGTGCAGGTAATAATCAAAAGCTACTCACAGATTTACAATCCAAATACAGCTATGTCATTACATCAATATAGATACCCATGTAAAGAATAATCTGTCCAACTGGTACACATAACAAACCCCTTTGCAAAAAAAAGAAGGAAATTGCAAAATGAACTCTTGCAACATATAGATTCTGCTATAAATGGGCTTTTACTAGTAACATAACTCGTCTGATCGGAATCTGCCAAGGGTTCCGTCAATGTTAGCCCACACTGTCAACCAGGAGTAGTCAACAAACTGTCCAGTGAGCAGCCCACAAGTATTTCTTTTATGATTGAAAGGATGGAAATGATGGTGGGATCAACACCTTGCTCTAACCCATGTACACATAAGTCTTCAATTAAAACACAATGATTACTATTCAACTATAGGTTATGCTAAAATGTGTTTTTAACACTTTTCCAATATGTAAAATGAATTTTATAGCTTTACTCCCCGGTCATCAACTCTCATGATCAATCTGGTAGATACATTATTTTGCTTATTGGAAACTGTCATCACTTTTCCAATAAGTAAACTACATAGTACATAGATGAAAAAACTTAAGCTCGAGCATTTACTGTGAACTCCCCAACACTTCACAGAACAAGAAAACCTAATGCTGAGCACTTGAACTTAGGTCTACATCAAAATCTAAGCTCTTACGATGACAATCGTTGAACCCTAGATAAAAAAAAGGAAAAAAATCGAGCTTTAACATAGCAAGAGCACTGCAACTATCATCTAAGCGTCCCGAAATCACACACAGAATAAAATCGCTAACTATAAAATCAAACATCGAACTTAAAGCATAAATCTAAATTGATAGAGAACTAAATGAACTCAGGATAATTACTTGGGTCAACAAATTCCACAAGAACAACATGATCGATCCCCACAAATATTAGGTAAAATTGAGAGAGAGAGAAAAAAAAAAGGTGGGGGGGTTACCTTGGGCATGGGTTTGTCTTGGTGGAACAAGCGCTTGCCGAACATTTCGGGGCAACGAATTTTTTTTAGGCCTTTTGATCTTCTCTTTGGATTTCGGGTTGCGACTTTTTCAGCAACGCGTGAGCTTGGCAGCGAACGAAATACAAAGGGCCTTTTTATATTAGTCCCCCGTTTTTAATATTGTGAACTTAGTCTCATAACTCCTGCAAGTGTTATGAATTAGTCCCCCATATTTTGCAACTAGTCCCCAAACCTCTATAATTGTTTTAAAATTAGCACCAGGTTGAAAGAGTTAGGGGATTAATTTCCAAACACAGAGAGGGATTTGGATGGCTAATATCAGAACATGAAGATTTGGGGGATTAATTCAATATTTGGTAGGTTAATTTTAGAATAGGAAGATTGTGAGGGTTAACATCAAAATATTAAACATTTGGGCAACTAATATCGAAAAACCCCAAACAAAAAGTAGGAAGAGGTGAAAATATTAGACGGCGCTTTCGGTGTGGGCTTTGGGAGAGCCTGGGCTCGAGCAATGGCCCGGCCGGCCTGCCTGCACATAACAGTGTTCGTTTTTTTCCCAACGCCCTTTTTTTATTATGATTATTACTTTTTCCTTTTTCCTTTTTCTTTAATTCTAATTTGCTGTTATTTCGAATTAGCCCACCAAGTTTTAACTTGCATCTTTTGAACTTTCAGTGACCTCCTAAGCTTGTTTATCTTACATAATCTTTTGAACTTTCAATGTCTCGCAAACCACACGTCTTTATCCTAAGTTTTAACCTTTTCTCAGAGGATCCACCTAACTATGATTGCAAATAACCTAAATATTCTTGAGAGGAAAATTATCAACTTTTAATTGTTGTTATTTACATGCAACATGCCCATCTTCTAAATTTTGGGTTTTTCTTCTTTTAAGATAGTTTATTAGTTTGCAAATTACATGCACGAAAGTCTGGTGTGAAGCATTTGAAGTTCAAGGGATTTGGTGGGACACCACAAGTTGTGCTATGTGAGATAAACAAAGTTTAAAAAATTAATTATTTATGGGTAAACACATTATATGCTCGATTTCAGATCCTCTGCATCTTTGATTATGAAGATATCTAACAATCAACGTAGACGAATCATATATTTCCATTAAACGAGTTTTATAACTATACAACAGTTTGTATAATTTATGTGAACAAATATCATTTATTTTTATAACTATATAATAGCAGGGTCGTACCTAGGAATTTTGGGGCCCAAGGCGAAATATTGGATGAGGCCTAAGTGATACAACTCATAATACAATTTATCTCATTCTTCTTACCTTTTGAGCGGCAAAATTACATATTATTTTCAATATCTTGTAACATGGTCGATCTTAAATAAGATTTTAGTAATTTTAATTTTGAAAAACTTCTTTCAGCGGAAGCAACTGTTACGAGTATAGTCAATAGTACACGATAAGCAATACAAGTATTTAGAAAATAATCTAACCACTTTATATAGTTCAACACTTCAATTGGACTATTAATCTCTATTTTTAAAATTTCCCCAAGCACTCTCAATTCTGAAAACAAATCAAGTCCATTAATATCTAAATGTTCATCATGTTTTAGTGCATTTTCGAGATTAAGATAATATGCTTTCAATTCAATATAATCTAAAGCTTTTAATTTTTTCAAATCAAACAAAAAACCAAATTTTTTTTCATACGTTTTAAATTGTTCAAACCTACTTTCAATTGAGCCAAGCGATTTATCAACTATGTATAGAAATATTTAATACAAAAAGATTCTTCAGCGTTAAATGTTGTTTCATTACCAATATTTCATCAAATTATTTTTTTCTATGAATTTTACGTTTTTCACAAAATATAGGTTGTACGTCATTTAATTAGCAAGTTCTTTAGTTGAATTCAAAGCAGATATAAAAGCATTTTGTCTATAATTTTCTAAATATACAATAAGACCCTTTAATTGATCTATGACAATATCAATATGCATATATTTAGATTGTAAGATTTTACTAACTGAATTAACAGCAAACAATATGTCATACCAAATATTCATAGCTATTAAGAATTCAAAATTTTCAATCTCATAAGTTGCTAAGCTATTAACTTCACTTTTTATCTTTGGATCTTCACTTTTTAAATAGGGTTAGCTTTATGCTTAAATAACTAAGTTACATATATTATATATATGGGTGGGTGGGCCTTATCCAACTTGGGGCCCAAGGCAAAGGCCTTAGTTGCCTTATGCTAGGGCCGACCTTGTATAATAGTCTGTATAATTCATCATCTACGGCTTACACGCATGGTCCGGAAGAGTCTAGATTCTCTAAAATGTTGATTCGGATAACAAAAACGTAGGATTAAAATAAATCATTAATTTATGACTAAACACATTATATACTTGATTTCGGATACTCCGCATCTTTGATTATAAAGATATCCAACAATCTATAATGTGGACCAATCGATATCTTTTCATTAAACGAGTTTTGTAACTGAACAATAGTTTGTGTAATTTATACGAACAAATATCATTTATTTTTACAACTATACAATAGTTTTTAGGGAAAAATGTTTCAAGGCCCCTAAAAAAAGATCCAGATGTGGCATAGTCCCACCAATTATTTCCATTAGCATTTAGCCCCAAAAAAGTGTGAAAAATATGGCTCAGTCCCAAAAGCCCATTTGTATACATGTATTAGGTGTATTTTGACCAACCTATCTAAAATGCCCTCATCTCTCACCCAGGAAATCTTCCTCTTAACCTATGGAGCTGGTGATCTGCCATCATAAATATTTGGCATCCAGTGGGTCCTCCTCTGCCGTCCCCTTCGCCCTCCTCCGCTCCGCCGCCACCTCCTCCTCGACTCCCACGTCACCCTCCTCCACCTCTTCCGCCTCGCCGTCGGCCCTCCGTCAAGAGGTCGAGGATCAACTTCTCTAAGCTGATGCAGTGGCTCGCCTTCTTCGGCGCGTTCGTCCTCCTCCACAAGTGGATCGGCCTGCTCTCCCTGCCCGTCTTCCTCTTCTCTGGCTTTGTCTCCTACGCCTCTAGATCTCAGCCACAGGTAGGTAGTTATCAACGAGGTAAAATGTGGGGGGTTTGGGGCTTTTTGTTGTATGAAGGCATGGTTTCATTGATAAGATGATAGTTTTGAATGAAGACTTGAAGTTTGACACAGAAAGAATGAAGGCCCATATGCCCAATTCAATTTGTTCTTTGTTCTTTGTTCTTTTTTTTTAGCTGTGCATTTTGGATACTTGAACGAATTTTATGTGAAATTTGGGATCTTATTGATACTTTGTAGCTTTTTGTGGTTTTTGTCAAGGTTCATAACAAGTTTGTCTCTGTTTTATCTTGACATTTTAATTATTTTCTCTCTCTTTATTTGGTGATGACACCTTTTTTTATGCAATATGCTCATTTGAGTAGAATTCACACATTAGAATGAAATCTGTGTTTTATCGCACAAATTGTTTTGGTTAATTAATAGACTTAATGGTTTGTAAGTTTGATTAAATGCATATGCATTTATATATCCTTGTTTTGAGAGAAGCATGATATATATATATATATCCTTGTAAAAGGTGTTTTTCTTTGCCTGTTACAGTTTGTGAACTACTTTAGAAATGCTGACATTGAACATATATGCAGATCATGAACTATTTATGTGAAACACAACATAGTTTAGATGACTTATATTTTCTTTTCTGATGCTTTTCACAGAGCTTGTAGGTTCTTCCTTTTGTTAGAAACATTACGATGAGTTACAAGGAGTTGTGTGCGAGCATTAATGTTCGTATGAATGCAATGCAAAATTTCAAGATCAAATATTTGTTTGGGTTTTTGGTTAGGGGGTTGAGGAGGTTGGGGGACTAGGAGGGGGCAAAGATGGTTGAGAGGGATTATGAGGAGTGGGATGTCCATAGGAAGTGGGGGTAGGTTGAGGAGGGGGAGGAGGAGATGGGGTTGTAGGTGTTTGATGAAATGCCCAAGTAACTTAGGTTTTTCATTTATTTTTTTCTAGGAGTTGGACACAATATTACATTCTGAGCCGCCACCAGAACCAAAGTATCAGCTGCGAAGATCAAGCTCAGCTTCTTTCTAAAGAATGCATGTATACTAAATTGTGTAGATTTGCATGGAGATTGGAGTGGTTTCTGTAAGATATTTGTATACTAAATAATATCAGCTGCAAGAATGTAAGAAATTTTGTGTAATGTACTTGTTTAGTTGAGGTATTCTGTTTATGTATCCTGTTAATTATTTTGGTACTATAATAACTTTCAGCTTAAAAAGTAAGTGTTGAAAAGGTAAACCGTCAGACGAAAATGTTGACTCTAACATGAGCATGTTAACTTTCACTTGAAAACGTTAAATCTTAATTGAACATGTTAACTTTTAACCGTACATGTTAACTTTCAGCCGAACATGTTAACTTTCAACTGAACATGTTAACTTTCACTAGAATATGTTAACTCTTATCTGAAGATGTTAACTTCAAGCTCTACATGTTAACATATAGCTCAACATGTTAACTTCCACGTTAATAATGTTAACATTCAGGCAGATATGTAGTTTTTTTTCATTTGAACCTATTAAAAATATGTTGTATCAAAACAAAATGTAGATATATGGTGGCAAAATACCATAAATACAATAACATGTGTAGTTTTCCATCCACACCAAGACAAAGCATTGCATTTATGATGATGATAACACTAGAAAGGAAAACAAAATGATTATATGCTGCTAAAAAGTTGATATTGTTGCAGACTTTTGTAATCTGTAAAGTTTTAAGACTAATCATATGCTTGAAATGAACATGTTAACTTTCACCTGAATGAGTTAACATTCACGGGAACATGTTAGCCTTCCGCTCTTTACGCTAACATTTATTAAAAATGGTTAACTTTCAAATACCCCCAAAGCAAAATAATCATAGAAGACCTAGAACCTCCTCAAACTTTCCCATCTCACATAAGCTACCAACAACAACTAGATACAGATTCCTAGTTGGGGTATGCCCAGACTCTTGCATGTTAACTCTCATCTCTATATGTTAACTTTCAGGTGTATATGTTAACGTTCAGATTTATATGCTAACATTCACGTGA